TACTCGAGTATAAGCCGAGGCGGCTTTTTTCAGCCCAAAAAGTGGGCTGAAAAACTAGGCTTATACTCGAGTATATACAATATCCACACCCATTTGCACTCTTGATTCAGGTGGCCCTGAGGGTACAGGATAAATTCCCAAGTGGCCTCAATGACTCTCATAATGCTAATGACCAAATGACTGCAGAGAAATATACATTCTTCCATCCCTCACCATTCAGTTAGAACTGAAGAAGCTTTTTGGGTGACAAATGAAATGATTTTGAGGAAATAAACAAGCAAATCAAGTTTGCCTTTTGGAAAAGCACCTCTGGAATAACCATGACCCGGATGATTGAGAATCAATCTCTTTTTAGCCTAGGCTAGCATATTGTGTGAACATGATCTCAAACTCAGTGTTTGAGTTGACAGTTTACCTGTATAAAATGCCAGATCTAGATTCCTGTTTTTTTTTTAAATCAAGTAGTAGAGAATGTAAAGTTTTTAGTGAATCATGGCCAGTTAGAATAAAATATACCTATCCAACCTGGTGCCCTCCAGATGTACTTAAAGTGCAAAGGTATTTTTTTTAAAATAAAGTTTTTTATTGAACACAAATTAAAACATTGGTCACAGTGTAACCGTCCTGGCAAAGTCTTTGCCAAACATACTAAGATATCAAGTTATACATTATAACCGCCATGCTTATTGACAATTGGTCTATTCAGTATTTACAAATATAAAAATATCATATTTCCAACCATGTTGCTTTGTTTTTATCTTACACATTTGCACTGTTATAATTTCATGCATAATTCTAATCTCCATTCTATGAATCTTAATCATTGCTTATTTTGAGTTTTTCCTTTTTTGTTCCAACCGTCAATAAAATTTATCCCAAATCTTACAATATTCTGTCTATTCATCTTTATTCTTCAACTCCCACATCAATTTATCCATTTCAGCACAAATCAGTCTTTTTCTAATTGTTTCCTCCTCTTGTGGAATTTCCCTGTTTTTTCCAGTTTTGGGCAAAGACCATTCTTGCTGCCGTAAAAATATGTATTGTTAAGTAGATTAGCCCCTTGTTATGTTTATCGTTTATGATTCCCAAAAGAAATAGTTCTGGTTTGATTTCTATTCCCTCTTTGGTTATATGTATCAGCCACCTGAAAAAGGTAATTTTGGAAGCCGCTGTTCCAGTGTAATTGGAGGGCACCAGGTTGACGAAAACTTCATGGTTACCCAAACAATATTACTAAGATACAGAGAACTAATTTCAATTCCTCAGGCCACAGTTGCCGTATATTCTGAGAACCACAATCCCACCGCACTTATCTGCAAGATTATGTAAAATTACCCTGTGTAAAATTTACATATTTGATGCAACTCCAGTAAGTAAATGTTTGGTTCTAAATTCCCCACATTGTTTTTAACATTGTTTTTCAGGCTATGAGGAGGTGATACTGATTCCCAAAGGATCTGTCCGCATTGATATCCGGGAACTTAATCATTCTCTGAGTTATCTTGGTAAGAAGTTTGTATTATCTGAGAAATGTTTTAGGTCTTATGTTCATGAAATGACTTTCTGTAGATGTTCCCAGGGGTGGGATTCAGCCAGTTTGGACCGGTTCAGGTGGATGCTCATTTTACATCTGGTTTGCCGAACCGGTAGTTGTAAGGCCTGGCTGGCCCCGCCCAATACACCCAGCCCAGGAGTCTCCACACGGCCTGTTTTGGATGCCAGGTAAGTGCAAAGCCTGCATGGAGGCTCTGGGAGAGCGAGAAACGGGCCTCTCCCTCCCCCCAGAAGGGGTTTTTCTGGAGCGTGAAAAACCGGCCCTATGCGCAAACTGGAAATTCGGGAACGGACTTCCAGTTTGCTCGTAAGGTCGTTTTTTGCCCTCTGGAGCCTTCAGGGAAGCTGCTGAAGCCTCCAGAAGGCGAAAAATGGCCTCAAAAGAAGGCCAAAGTCAGCTGGCCAAGGCGCACATGCGCGCTGACCAGCTGACAAGGCAACGCCTCACGTGCCCGGACGAATGGCTCCACGTGCCACCTGTGGCACACGTGCCATAGGTTCGCCATCATGGTCATAGCGCAGAATACAGTACACCCTGCCAGTTCCTGAACCCCCGCTGCTGCTGTTCCTCCCCGCAGCTTGCTTGTCTGCACAAGCCTTAGGCATCAGGAGAAGTCTGCTCCCCCAAATGTGGGCTCTAAGCCCTTGATCAGATTACTAATATTGCAAGGTTGGCGAGTGGTAGATGGGGTGGGTGGGTGTTCCATCTGATTTGGGTTGCCTGAGGCTCGGCATTGTCATCCCCAATTCGGGTCTGAGCCTGGTGCCAAAGCTGATCCAGAACAGCAGACAAAAGGTGCAGGTTTTGTTTCCTCTTATTGAAGGCTTCCAAGAAAAAGGGTCCTGGCTAGAAAAATGCCAAGGAACCTTAACAGTAGAATTAAGAAAGGTTTATACATCTTCCCTAAAGCAGACAGCGGGATAAGGTGGGATATGTAAAACAAATCATCTAATACATTAATAATAAATTTTAGCTCTAACAATTGTCCTATTGGTCTCTAGCGGTCCCCATTCCTAAGCCTTGCCTAATAATTGCTCCAGGAGTTATCTAATACACATTCTATTTACCCCAGGCCATCCTTTTTCCTAACTTCTAGCTGAGCAATGCAGGAGCCGAGGTGGCGCAGGGGTTAGGGTGCAGTACTGCAGGCCACTTCAGCTGACTGTTATCTGCAGTTCAGCGGTTCCAATCTCACCGGCTCAAGGTTGACTCAGCCTTCCAT